ATATATATATAAATATACAAATAAATATATAAATATATATAGATATATATATATAAATAAATATATGAACATATTAATATATATAAATATATAAATATATAATATACAAACAATATATTAAAAAAAATTGAATAATTATATAAATAAATATATAAACATATAAATATATATAAATACATACGGTATACAAAATATATATATATATATATATATAAATAAATATACAAATAAATATATAAGCAAATATATAAATAAATATATAAATTAATATATAAATAATTNTATATATATATATATATATCTGTATGTATGTATCTGTATATCTGTATTTTAACAACATCTATCAGCGCTGCATACTTTCGGATCGACGATTCGAAAAAGTCAAAAGTATATGTACTGTGCATGACTGGACTACACAGTCAAAGCTCCCCGGTGTGTTATTCATTTGCATCTACTAGGCCAAAGAAAAGGCCTACGTATTTGCAAAACTGGATAAACCTGAAAAAAAAAAAAAAGATTTAAAATATATGGCTCGCTGGCTCGCATGATTCGTGCATTGGCTCCCATGACTCGCTGGCTCGCAATTTGGCACTACTCTGCTATGACATGCGTGGCTGAACCGTGTTTGGTTCAATCATGGTAGAAAGAAAAAACAATCAACAATTATCAGAGGAGGGGGTGGGGAAACACAAATGTACGGTATTATCTATTTAATAAAATAATATTTAATTTGTATACAATATAATTTTATCACTGAGAGAACAGATAATGATGTCAAAATATTGTATATACATGGAGGCTTCATGATCAAAAGTTCTTGCCAGGATTTGGTACGTTGACGTGACATTTCAAAGGTTGTTGCCGTGAATTTTGAAAGTGTGCCTGCAATGAATTTTAAAAGTGTGCCGTGGTTTTCAAAAGTGTGCGGTGAATTTTGAAAGTATGCCGTGACTTTTTAAAGTGTGCCGTGTGGTTTCGAAAGTTGTTGCTGTGAATTTTCAAAATGTGGCCGTGACATTTCAAAAGTTGTTGCCGTGACACTTATGGGCCACCGTACAGATTGGATTATTGTAATGGGGTCCTCTACAGACTGCCTCAAACCTCAATTATTAACATTTATCAGTTATCTCCTAAATAAATTTCTCAACTTATTAAGTCTCACTCCTCAACATGCGCTCGTACCCTCAGATCATGGAGGAAATTGTTATATTTCCTCCATGCTCAGATCAACATCCGATTTGACTACACTTTATAGTCCACCAGTGGCGGCGCCAGCGGGGGGGGGGGGCAGGGAGCTTAAGTCCCAACCTGACAGGTCAAGGCCCCCCGCCCCTGCCGGACAGAGCTCGTCGGGCAGTCAGACCATAAAACATATAAAAATAGGGCCACACCCAGCCAACACATGTCTGTCACAGTCTGAGAGTGCCATTTTCGGCCATCCAGAGGTTGATATTTTTTTTAGAAAATCTCGTTTGGGAGGGGAACCTCCTCTCAACCCTTTCCTCCAGCTCGAGCCTACGAGCTCAAGTCCCCCTGTCGGACAACTTAGCGCCCCCAGAAAATATATCCTAGAGCCGCCACTGTAGTCCACCCTGCAAATTAAAGTCTTGTGGGGCGCTTTTATTCATGGTTGGTTGCTGCTCCTCCTAAATGATGGAATACTCTACCGTTATCTATTCGTGAGTCGCCATCCGTCTCTTTGTTTAAATCTCATTTAAAAACTCACTTATTTCGTTCTCTTTGATTCCCCTTTTCCATCATTTGCCAGCTAGCTTTTTCGTAGTTATATCAGGATAGGAGGCAAGAGTCCTGGGATGGCCGAGACTCAACTGGTGCTGGACAGGGTACATTTTGATAGATCCCTGCTCAGCGACGAGGGCGTATCCCCATACTGCGGTTTGGGTGCTGACTTGGATTTTCTTTTTTATTTTCCAGTTACATCTGCTCACTTGTTCTGCACATAGAGACTCTCGTATTTTGCGCAATATAAATGAATAACGTTTAACCTTTAACCTGTAATGAAAACATTATTACCAGTGGCGTAGAAAAGTATTTTTCATTGGGGGGGGGGGATGATTGGCATTTTAGCAAGTGTCGTAACAGGCCCGGGGGGAGGACAGGGGGAGGGGAAACTGCCCCTCCCCTGACGGTTTTTACCGGGCTGACCATGCCGTCGTACCGGGCTGAGTAATAAGAGAAAAGAAAGAGGGGAGAGGGAGGGAAAGAGAAAGAAAAGGAAAAGGAAAGGAAAGGAAAAGAAAAAGAGAAAAATAAAGACAAGAGTAAAAAGGAGGATATCATAATCACCAGACTCACAACACCCTGCAACGCCTTCTCCACTTCAAAAACTGTCATAACTCCTTTGATCTATGCTGCCCGATAGCGTAACCACTGGGGGACAAGGGGAAAACATCTATCTTTGGAAAATCCTTCCTACCCCTTTATAAATGCCCTTTTCATCCCCTAAAAGTGCCTAAAAACCTCAAATTTCGCGTGCTTCGCGCGCATTTCTTGTTGACATGGGCCAATTTCCTCTAAAAATTGCACATTTTAGAGAATTTGGATCAATTCCAACGAAATTAGAACTAAAAACACCGGGGGACAAGGGGAAAATATCCATCTTTGGAAAATCTTTCCCCACCCCTTGACAAATGCATCCTCTGAAATTGCATAAAATTCTAAAATTCTTTGCGCGCATTTCTTGTTAAAGTAGGCCAATTTCCTTTATAAATTGCACATTTTAGGGAGTTTTCATCAATTCCGACGAAATTAGAATTAAAAACACAACAGTATTTTGCGCAAACACATAATAGTCCCAAACTCAAGAAAGACAAATTTAAGATAGATC